GGGTGGGATCCCTCCAAGCAGAGTGGCACGGTGAGGGCTGGGCTAAGAAGTCTGGGGTCAGCTGGGCCAGCCACAGCCCGCTTGCCTAATACCAGCGCCATTTGCAGGTTACAGGGCGGGATAGGTGGGTGACACGTGGCAGCATATTCCACAGATACACAACTTTGGCTTGGGGAGTGGCATGTCTCTGTTACTCCAGAAAGGTGCAGTGGTGGCAGGAACGCATCAGGGTGTGTTTTGATACCTACTGCCTCAGAGCTTTTGCTTATTCATATTCATAAAAAATTATATTTTTACAGATGTGACTAGAGGGCTATGTCTAGACTGGTATGATTTTCCGCAAATGCTTTTAACGGAAAAGTTTTCTGTTAAAAGCATTTGCGGAAAAGAGCATCCAGATTGGCACGGATGCTTTTCCGCAAAAGCACTGTTGCATAAATTGCTGGTTTCGTCCCCTTGGAGGCTAGTCTGATTTACCCCAAGAAGAGAGTCACACTTTCAGGCTGGGTCCAACTCAAGTTTATTGGTTGCCACCAAGGTACGGCTAAGGAACTCGATGTTCAAAGCAGAGCCGACCCTGAGCGTTGGCTAAGCATCCTTTTTTATACTTTTTTTAACTTTCTTATCTAACTTGGCATGTCTTGATTTGTTACCTTAGCTTCGTGTTGCCGCGTTATTGGTTAGCATATTTCAACTCTATTCCATTCAGTAACAACCACCAGTATAGCTTACTTAAGCAATAGCAATTAGCAAATTTCCCTAACTCAAGTAATACGTGTAATCCAGTCCTTGAGAAATGGGTCTAAACAGCTAGTTCCCCTTTTTACTACAGCTTCTAAAACATGCGCAATTAGCTAAATGATATGTGCTGTTTCAAGCTTAAGTAATGGAAGGGGGAAGAAGCACACATAGTCTTTACTATATTTTACTACAGCACTTTTTGGGGAAAAGCGTCCATGCCAATCTAGACGCGCTTTTGCACAAAAAAGCCCCGATCGCCGTTTTAGCCATCGGGGCTTTTTTGCGCAAAACAGTACTGTGCTGTCTACACTGGCCCTCTTGCGCAAATGATTTGCGCAAGAGGGCTTTTGCCCGAACAGGAGCAGCACAGTATTTCCGCAAGAACACTGACAATCTTACATGAGATTGTCAATGTTCTTGTGGAAATTCAAGCGGCCAGTGTAGACAGCTGGCAAGTTTTTCCACAAAAGCAGCTGATTTTGCGGAAAAACTGGCCAGTCTAGACACAGCCTATGTGTTTTGTGATAAATGTTGTGTGTGAATTTTCTCAAGTTGTAAACTTACACGAGTAATTTTGGAAAGTGTGTGTGCCTTTGAATTAAAGATGGGAATAAGAGACTGTGAATAAGAGACTTCCTGCATCTGGGACCTGGAGGAAAATACTTGGAAGAGTCACTGGTAGGGGTTAGTGAGGGCTGAGCTGGGACAGAGACAAGCCAACTCTGGATTTCACACCAGGGGCCAAGTTTGTATTCGTCCCTGGGGTATGCAGGACATTTCAGGGAACAGATCAGGCAGCCAGTGTTAGTGGTGTGGAATCCCTCTTGCTGAAGGAATGGGTCAGTTGCTTCTGCAGCACTTTGCCCTCTTGTGTTAGACCTGAGAGAGGGCCCCAACCAACCAGGGTTAATATACTGGGAGGGGGGCAGCAGGGAGAGAGAGCTAATGTGGTAAGTGGACATATAGCTCTGAGGTCTCTTCCAGCCCTATGAATCTATGAAACAGTACTGAATTGGCCATACAGACTTGCCCCCAACGCCAGCCTTGTGGCTGTGCATGTTAGGATACTGTGCTCTCTTTACGTAGCCACCTCTGTACTACGAAAAGCACTTTACAGCAGGCTTCTGGACAACCTAGACTGAGAGAGAACCTGACGACACAGCTACTTTGTAAGGGAGCCATGGGAGGGCAGGAGATCCTGGCGCTGGCTTGGTGGCACATTATGAATACTCTCTACTCCGAGCCTCCTGCAGATCTCACAAGGATACATGAACTCTGGAATAGATGGGGGAAGAGGCAAAATATCTGTTTCCTCTGATGGTATTTACTGATCCAGCTCCCCTAATGAGCATTTTAGTGAAGAGAGTAATTAAGGCTTCAAAGTCAGTGATGGTATTTCCCTTCCCTTTTGCCCTTTGCTTGGCACTGGCCCCAGATAACCCAGGGGATGACTAAGAGGAAAGACCACCTAGAGGGCCTTAACTGTGACAGGCAGTAGATGCTATTTGGACACCTGTCCAATGGAATGTTTGCATCTTAAGATTCCATGGCAGTTGGGAGTGGCAGTTGGGCAGCACTGGAGTCTCATAGCACTGAGCAGGCTGCCAGGTATTACCTCCGTCCTGATAAATCCAGGATCACAAGTTTCATGCTCCCTGCCATAGGGCACGGGACCTGTTATCTCCACAGGATCAAGAGGCTTTTCCTGCCTCATCAGCATCAGCTACCACCCAACAACTGTCTTGCATGTTAAAGCCAGCCAGAGCAGCATACTGGCTGGACAGCTGCATTTGGCACAGAAGTGTCAGACTGGACTGACCCAATCAGAGGCCACTGGATGGATAATGTGGAAGAAAACATTGTCCTCACTCTGAGTTTGTAAGCAACAAGTAGCCAGAGGCAGTTTTATTACGAGCTGCAGTAAGGGAAAAACTGGTTCGGACAGCAGATCTTCCAATACAAGCAACTATGAAGCAGTTTATATACTGTTAGATATAATAACAATAACAATTAGTCTCCTTCCCATTACAAACACCAATGGTTAACAGTTATTTAGTTCCACCCAGATGCTCCTTATCTCAAGGTCCCTGCCGGAGTCAGCATTCTATCCTTATCTCCGTATGGAGGCGAGAGGCAAAGGCAGCGTCTAATTACAGATCTCTCGTTGTCAGGCCACAGACTTAGCCTGACTCTTGCTCTCTTCTTAACAAGACCAAGATGGCTGCACACACAGTGTAAGTGGCCACATTGGCTATGTCTACACTCGCAGCTTCTTGCTGTGCGAGAAATATGCAAATGAGGCTAAGCGTGGAATATCGCTGAGCCTCATCTGCAAAAATGGCAGCTCATTAGGTATGCAAAAGAGGGCTCTTGTGCCAGAAGGAACTGTCTACACTGCCCCTTCTTGCGCAAGAAAAACCCTCTTGCGCAATGCCGTTACGCCAATTATTTTCAGGTATAATGGCATTGCATAAGAGGGTTTTTTTGCGCAAGAAGAGGCAGTGTAGACCACTTCTGGTGCAAGAGTCTCTTCTGCAAAAATGACCGCTTATTAGGTATGCAAATGAGGCTCAGCGATATTCCATGCTTAGCCTCATTTGCATACTTCTCGCGCAAGAAGGTGTGAGTGTAGACATAGCCATTGGGTGTCAGGAAGATCAGTGGCAAGCTAAACTTATGGGGCTGTTGATTGTGTGGATAGATTAAGGCAATACCATGGCCCCGAGAGAAAGCTCTCTCTCTGACTTAGGAGACCTGAAAGGAAGAAAGGAGCACTGAAGGCTTAAAGAGTATACAGTTGAGGAATGATGGTCCAGTAATTAGGGTGCAAACCTGGGACTCGCTTCTCTGCCACAAACTTACTGTGCGACCACTTATCTTCTCTTTGGCTGGGTTTCCTATAGTACTTCCCTAGCTCACAGGGCTGTTGTGAGGATAAATACACTAAACATTGTGACGTGTTCAGATACCACCGTAAAAGGGGGCATAAGTACCTATGATTAGAGCCGGAATAGACTTTTCTATTGGAATACAAAAATTCCCTTTTCCCATCTGATAAGCAGTGCTGTTAGTATGCCAGTAGCTTAACTCATTAAGTTTTTTTGTATGTATGAGAGCAAAGGCATGTTTTACGGAGGATTTGAAAGAACGTATTGAAGTATCTTTGTGGATGTTTATGGAGAGTTCTTTCCAAATATGAGGGGCAGCATGGAAGAAAGCACAAAGATGCTTGTTTGAAAATCTGACAGGTGGGAGATGAAGACCGGAGACAGCATTTTGATAGTGAAGGAGAGATAATAGGAAAGGTGGGGATAGACCATAAAGGACTTTGAAAGTGAAAACAAGCAGCTGATATCTGATGCAATAGAGAAAAAGGAGACCGCACGGGGGAAGAGAGAGAAAAGATATGGTCAAAGTGATGGGCTAGGAAAATGATATTTTCTGCAACAACCTGAATAGCTATGCTCAAGCAAGCTTGTTTTTGTCAGTCTGACCGAAGAGTACTCGAATGCCAGATATGCACTGTTGTGAGATATACCCGAAAAGTGAAACATACTGGCTGAGCAGATAAGTCGGTGTGTCTGGGAGCTGACACGTAGCTTAACTATTGCAAACCTCTCATTTGCTGAGGGTGAGTGGCAGGGGCATCCCTATACGTATGCAGAGTATGCAGCTGCATAGGGCACCAGGAAATTTCTTGGTGCCCTATGCAGTTGTTTATTGTATATGTGGCAGTGCCGGGTATGGCAGCCAGCCCCATCCTCTCCCATGTGCTGTCCCCCACCTTCACCCCACACACAGTTGCCACTCACCAGCTAGTTCTACTTCCAGTGGAAAGGGAAACTCCACTAATCTCTTGCAGGCTACAAGGCTACCCCCTGCTCTGACTCTGGCCTGCAGCTCAAGTCATGCCACTCGCAACAAAGAACAACTCTCCTGTGGAACAGCCAGCTCACCTGAGGAATGCCTCC